GGAGAATGGAACGGAGCCCGGGGGTGGAGCTGTCACGCTGTGCGGGGAGAATGGAACGGAGCCCGGGGGGGTAAGATGTCACTCAATACGGGGAGAGTGGACCGGAGCCCCGTCACTCTGGGGAAGCAGCGGCGCCCGGGCTCTTCAGCAGCGAAAACAAAAATGCTGGAGATGACAGCGGGTTAGGCAGCACCCATGGAAAAAGAGCGAGTTTCTCGTCCAGGTAACTCTTCATCAGAGCTCCACCAGCAGTACTGTTTTCAATACAGATTCCAGATCTTCCCTCTCCGGCAGTGTAGCGGTGGTCCACACTGGGAGACAATGCAGGATGTTCTCCAAATTGACTGTCACCCCACTCACCATATTAGAACAGGATTTAAAGCTCCCCTCAGAGATTTAAGCAAATAATCAAGCTTGCCGATTTAATGCAATACTGTTGAAAAGTTACACACTCTATTTTTCTAGTTTTCATTGAATTTCATGTTAAGATTCTTGCCCTATTCAAAGAAAGACAGGGGATTTGCCCCCTAGGTCCTAGATAATAATTATCACTCCAACTCAACCGAATGACTAACAGCAGACAAATCATATGGGCCAATGAACTTAATTGATCATTTTAATTATTGAGAATGAAGAACCGTGGGAAAATGGAAGTAGGCTTGGGATGTTTAGAAAGTAACAAAGTGGAAGTTAAACAGGTTATCCCCAAGGAATAAAATGAATGAATATCTGAGGGGGCTGTGGCAGATGGGTGTGATGCTCAGCAATGGTTATAACAGGGTTTTTCTCAGCTTGTTCAGAAGGATGTGCACACTTGAGAGGGATACATTGCCATAAATAGGTGAAACAGGACTGTCAGTTGTTGAACCTGGTATGTGCTGAAGAGAAAGTACTCTCAGGTTTGAAGATGGCTAGCAAGGGGACTACTTGAATAGGGTGCAGTTGCCCATACACAAGTGAGGAATAACAGAGAAAAGAGGTTAATTTGAATGAAAATGCTAAAACCTCAAAGTTATTGAATAAATCTGTGTCTAGTGGGAAGGCTTAAGTGACACCAGCTAGAGAGGCAAGATGGTTTCTTTTAGAATATGGAAGTTTTTTTTTGTCTCCATAACAGCCCAGCATCAAAATTGCAATCTCTCAAATCACATATTTCAAAACATTTTACATTTTATTTCCAATGTTAGGAATTTCACAGAAATTTTGTCTCATGAAAAGGAGAACAATTTTTTGGTCTATTCACTTTTCAAACTGCAGCACCCTGGAAGTTCATGCTCACAGCAGTGAACACTTTTGTTTGAATTTGCTATAAATGATAAACTGCTTCACATAGTTAAATGTTGATTAAAACCCTCAAATCTAGAGCCCAAACACAACGCCAGCACAATTTTTGCATTTGCATCTGCATTTCCATTCTTGTGTTCGCTCAGTGTTAGCATTTCTCCTGAGCCAAATGGACACAGGTTCAAATTCCATTGCAGACACCTCAGACAAAAATGAGGCAGTGCTGCATGGAAAATAAACAGGAGTCTTGTTTTTCTTTAGCTTGGCATAAAAGATCACATCTGTAAACAGAAAAGGTAGGAAATTTTTAATCGCACCAACCAACACCTAAAGCAGATTATATAGTCATTATCACAATCTTCCTCTTTGCAGGTTGACTACCATTTTCTTTACATTTAAAGAGTACCTACACTCTAAAACCATTTAACTGATTTTGCTGTGCTTTAGGATGTTTTTGTCAAAAAAAATCATTCTAGGGATGTGTCATCACTCTTTAGGCCAATATTTATTGCCCTCTTAAACTACTGCAGTCCATGTGGTGTGGGTACTCTCAAAATGCTGTTAGGAAGTGACTTCCAGGATTTTGCTCCTACAACAGTGAAGAACATCAAAACATGCAAGAGGTAGTGTGTAGCTTGAAGGAGAAGTTGCTAGTGTTGGTGCTCTGATTTACCTGCTGCCCGTATAGCCAGAGTATTTACATAGTTAGCCCATTTCAGTTATGTTGGCATTCTCATGATCTGCTGCTTTTGTCTTTCTACGTGGTAGACATTGTGAGTGCGAAAGGTACTCTTGATGGAACCTTAGTGAGTTACTGCAGTGCCATCTTATAAATGGTACACGCTACTGCTAGTATGCATTTATTGCAGAGGGAGTGAACATTTAAGCTAGTAAATGGGGTGCTGGTCATGCAGGCTGCTTTGGCATGAATGATATCAAGTTTTTTTGAGTGCTGGAGGTACAATCATCCAGGCAAAAGTAAGGCATTCCATTGCACTCCTGACTTGGACCATTTAGAAAGTGGACAGACATTGGCAAGTCAGGAAGTGTGTTACTCACCTTAGAATTCCCAGTCGCTGACCTGCTCTTGCAGGCCCAGTATTTATATAGTTAGTCCAAATCAGGTTTAGGTCACTGGCAGCCCCAAGTAGTTGCTAGTTGGGGATTGATGGTGGTGATGCTGCCATTTGATGTCAAAAGGAGATAGTTACATTCTCTTATTCTCTGGCACAAATGCCACTTGTCACTTATGATGTCAAGCCTGGATTTTGTCCAGGTCTTGCTGCATTTGGACATAGACTGTTTTGGCATCTGAAGAGATGCCAATGGTGCTGAATATTATTCAATCATCAACAAATAGTCTCACCTCTGATCTTATGATGGAGGGAAGGTCAATGATGAAGAGGCTGAAGATGGTTAGGCCAAGAACATTACCCTGAAGAACTCCTAGGCCCAATCATCTTCAGACCTAAGATTGTGAAAAGCACCATATAAAGGGAAGCTAATAAGCACATTTTTCTATGTCACCATCTTTATGGAATCAGAGAGATTGAAATATGGACTATTTTGTGTATTAAATGTGTCAGTGCTAAGATTTAGTTTGAAATCTAGTGAAGATTCTGGAGTGGATTTGAACACCACTGCAGAAAGGATTCTGTTCAAATTTAACCTACTGCATAATTCCTGGAACTGAGTTTCATGACCATGTAATAATAAATATCATGATGTGTTGAAAATAGAAACATGAAAGTCGACTCAATGGTTGAATGCTTTTCACCATACTTTATTTCAGCACATTGATGCACTACAATAAAACAAACATGGACAAGAGCCAGTTTACTTGAATGTTAATTGTTAACATCATGTTGCATTTATATTTATTGATATTCCTAAAGTAATCTACTAAATAATTCAACAAATAAATTGCACACCGTAGAATGCTCACTGCTATTAGCTGCCTGGTGCTAATGATGACTTTTTATTTGGTCAGTCTCCTGACTGACTGGAACCCTTCTTATTTTTGATCCCTAAGAAGCTGCACAATTTTGTCAGCATTAGGTCAACTATTTCTTCTTCTTCGGAAGCCTGAAAGGAAGAAAACAAAAATGTTCCTTGCTGTATTAAAACATTTCCCTAAAAACCCTTTCTCTTTTCAAACATAGAATTGTGTAGGATATGTGGCACAGAAACAGAACATTTCATGCAGCAGGTCCATGTTGGTATTTATGATATAGTTGAACCTCTTCCCATCTTTTGTCATCCAGATCTATCAAAATAACCACCTATTCCTCAATTTACTTGTCTAGTCTTTAATACCATAAATGCATCTATACTATTTGCTTCAAGCATTCCCTGCGGAAGTGAGTTTCACATTCTCACTGATAGTAGGAACTGCAGATGCTGGAGAATCTGAG